AGCTCGTCCATGTCCTGTTTTGCACACACTAAATTACAAAAACTAAGAGTTGTGCAACCTGGTGAAACAACACCAATGCGCACTGCATGCTGGGAGCTGCGATGTCATTTTTGGCGCCAGCCACAGGGTGCTTGGGTTCTAACAATGACTAAATGTACAATTACTAAATGTAATTTAATGCAATTTATGTAATTTTATATAATACTAAATGTATTTTAAATGTAATTTAATGTGAAACTAAATTTAATTTATTAATAGCTAGCTGAGTTTGGTAGGCTGCAAATATCAAAGACGTATTTGGTGTGACGGTGACAAAAACTGACTGAACTTTCTGGCTTGAGATGAATTTATTTATTTGGGAGACTGAATCAGATTACTTTTTACATCTAAAAAAAAAACTACAAATCTCCATGAGATGGGAGATGTTCACTCAGCAGATTTCTACAGCTAATGTCAGGACGGCAGCTATGAACAGTTAATCACCCTGACAGGGTTATTTTTAGCTCTTGCCAGTGAGTGAAAGCCAGTCCAATATTTACTCTTGTCTAGTTTCTTGTACTGCCTTTTTCCATTTTTCCTGGCTGTGGCTGTGCTCTGGTGATACATACTATTTAGCCTACTGCTAGATGTCCTTGTCCTGTTGCACAGCTTGTTCACAATCACAGTAGGTGATTGTAGTAATTTGGTAAGTGTGAACTTGAAGTCAAAACTCCTGTGGTCTCGAGAACACAGTGCTCCCAGTGTGCAACTGGAACACCAGTGCCCTTGGTGACTCTGCTCTAAACAAGATGTAGCTGCCTGCTAATGAGAGTTAGCTTGGTCTACTAAAGGGTCCTCACAGCTCTGAAAACATCAGGACAAATTTCTGACAGTGGAAGCACAGCTATAAAACTCACTTGGTCACACACACATACACACACACACACACATATATATATATAAACAGTACAGTGGTTTGGATAGTTACCTCCATGTGTTATAGAAGAGCAGGGGGATGTTGAGGCCCACAGTCAGCCACTCCTGGGCACACAGGAACATGATACAGAAGAGCCCATGGATGGAGTACTCTGGTAGCACCAACTACATGAGGAGACACACATAGGAAGAAGAGGAGAATGAGCCAGAGTGAAGAGAAGGTGTGCAACAAAGAGCAATTATATTAAACTAAACTAAGGGGAAATTGGTTAGCACTGGTTACCATCAGTTGCCCGTCGGTGTAAGGAATTCCCACAGGTGTAAGAAAACACATCAAGCATCATCATTAGCATTCAAATTTGTAGCCTATCCCATATTAAGCCATGGCACATCTGTCGATCTGCATGCATTCCAAATGGATAAATGCCCCATGGAGAACTTCACAATGGACAGCAAACACTAGTGACATCATTACCACAATAACTGAAGGGCCTGGTCCTCTCAAAGCAGAAAGCAAAACCATCTCCTGGCAAACAGTGAGGATGAGAATATGTCATCAACACTGCCACCCCTTCCCCTTCCCACCTCAGACAAATTGACTCGCTTCTGTTTTCCAAAGTGAAAAGCTTATCCAGTTGCATTCAGTTTGGCTACACAAGTTGCTGTAACAGTAGGTTTGGATTTAAACAAAATAGACTTGAATGTCATCAGACACTACTTGTGTTTACACCCTCATCAATGACTGAGTTTTTTCAAAAAAGAGTAACACAAATTCAATGTTTTGGAGGGAATTACACAAAAGGATACAATGACAATTGGCTGCACTACACATGCCACAGTGGCTATGGCATGAATTGAGTGGTATGCCCAATATTTTTAATGGCTCATTCAGTATCTGAACATTATGCATTGTGCTCTGATGGGAATTTCATGCAAATAAAATGTCACATTTCAAAGCTACTCAATGCTTAATTCAAGCACTCAGTCATTTGGCCACCACAGCCTCATCTGTATGACCAGTAATTTACAGTGGTAGTGTTAGCAGAACAAACCAAAAGCAAAGCATTGACATATTTTAACCATATGAAGTTGAAGTGCTAGCAGTGTTAGGGTGATTTTCATTTTTAGATAGAAATGAATATAATTAGTTAGGGTTTTATTATATAGCATACATAAGTTTATACATTTTAATCTCACAGTTGTGTTTATGTTATGTAGTTACATATCACCCTATGTGTGCACTGAATCACTGGTTAGTATTTACTGTCTAAGCAAACTGGAGCACTGTTTAACATCAAAGGGACTGGTTCACCAAAACACTGACTCTCATCAGATTTACAGCTTTAGCAAAGAGGGTCTACAGTTGTTTTATTACCACCACCTGGCTGATGGGACGGGGGAGCTAGAGTTTATTGGGGTTTTTAGGAGAGTAGGAACAGAGATTAGATCTAAAAGCCAGGAAGAGGAGCCACTTCAAAAGACAGGGTAACACAGACACACACCAAGGCAGAGAAGCTTTATTGGAATGGGGGGTAGTGCTTAAAGTCTTTTGGAAACAAAGAAAGACATAAGTGTCTATCTAGGAATTAAGACAGGGCAGGTATTCCTCCCTTTTTAGGGTGCTGTCTACAACCATTGGAGTAGAGAGGACAATTGGAGGATGGACGGATTGAAGGACCAATCTTGGGAGAATTAAGTTTAAACCACAATTGCTCCCCAACAGTTTTTGGACCATTCAGAAAGCAACATCTTTTTCCTGTAAATGTTGTGTACTGCTAAGTTGAAGTTAGTCTTTTCTGTTTATCTTAAACAGAAGGGATCCATGTGCACATGCTTATTTTGATACGTTAATGCATAATAAATTTCATATAGAGAAATATATCTTTTTATTAGTCTTCTCTTTTCAAAATAAATGGACTTTTTCTCACAGCAGGGAGCCTGCAGTCATTACCCCCGACAGGACTAGCACATCTATAGGTAGCCCTTGGATGATGCTGCCAACACCAGCGCCATCACATCAGAAGAGAGAGAGCCGGCCAACAGTCCTTAAGAGGGGTGACAGTGAGCAGCTGGACTGGAGGTCATACGGTGCTGATCCAAAGATTCCGTCATATCAGATAGGTGAGGACACTGAAAACTATTTGTGGAGGTTTGAGCGGACTGCAAAGACCTGGAGATGGCCAGAGGCTGAGTGGGCATGTTCTCTGATTCCACTTCTTTCTGGCAAGGCACTAGAGGCCTACACGGCCATGGATGAAGACAAGGCTCATTGTTATGCAGATTTAAAGGAAGCTTTACTGACAAAATTTGACATTTCACCAGAGACCTACCGGCAGCGATTCTGGGCCACCTTTGTGCCAGCAGGGTAGACCACCACGGAAACTTACCATCGCCTTAAAGGTCTCTACTGATGCTGGATTCAGCCAGAGCAGCTCTCCAAAGAACAGATTGGAGAACTCATCATTCTGGAGCAGCTGCTTTCTGTTATTCCACCAGATGTAAGGACCTGGGTGAAGGAACACAAGCCTGCTGATGGATTGACTGGCTGCATGGGGAGAAAGATGTGGACGACACAGTCCCAGCACAGCACAACCTGGTCTACAGCCTAGACAGTCCTGGCAGGTTAAGGCGGATAACAGCCAGGTGTCTAAAGGTATTGCTAGCCCAACCACCACTACCGGTAAGCCTTTGGTTTGCTTTTATTGTCAACAGTTGGGTCACAAAGCTTCTGTGTGTCCAATGCATAAATCCAAGCTTATTGGGGCCTGTTATGCTCCCCAAAGGGAGGCAGAGGTCATAGAAAATAGAGGCCTCAGAAGGAGTACTCATAAACCTGTACCTGTTAATGGTCAGCAGGTGTCAGCTCTGCTAGACAGTGGGAGTTTCACTTCTTTGGTGAAAAAGAGCCTGGTACCTGGGGGCTATGTGGACTACAGTATGAAAACAGATATTTGGTGTGTTCATAGGGACAGTCATGCCTATCCAAAGGCAGAAGTGACTGTGATCATTAATGAACAGCCATATTTGATGACTGTTGGGGTGGTGGAACATTTGCCGGTGGACATTGTTCTTGGGACTGATTTGCCTGTGCTAATGGACCTTCAGCGGGAAGGAGATTCTAATGGTGGGGGGGATGATGATGAAAATGTTGTATGTCCTGTTTTCACACATGCTCAGACAAAGCTAAGGTTAACATGGGGGAAAGGAAAGTTTTATTGTTGAAAATGATGTATTGTATGCCTATAATGATGCTCAGAAATGACTAGTAGTTCCAACAAGCTGCCACTCATTAGTTATGCACAATGCACACACAGTACCATGGGCAGGCCATTTTGATCACCATAAAACCTTCCTCCACATTAGTTCATGCTTTTTTTGGCCAGGCATGTATTCTGATGTTCAGACATATTGTGCCACTTGTCCTGTATGCCAAAAGACATCCCCAACTCACAGGTCTGACCAGGCTCTTCTTCAGCCACTTCCTGTCATCTCTACTCCTTTCCGAAGAATTGCTATGGACATTGTAGACCCATTGCCAAAAAGTGCCTGAGGTCACCAGTATATTCTGGTAGTCTGCGATTATGCTACCAGGTTCCCAGAAGCCTTTCCACTAAATACCATTACTGCCCCTGTTGTTTTACGTGTCTTGGTCCAGCTCTTCTCCAGGGTGGGGATTCCAGACAAGATACTTAAAGACCAAGATACTAATTTCACCTCATCTGTTACAGCTTTTTCATATGCAGTTGGGCATTACCTCCATGAAGACTACCTCTTATCATCCTCAAATTGATGGGTTGGTTGAGAGATTCAACTAGACCTTGAAAAGGATGCTGCAGAGGTTTGTGGCTGTCACTGGAAAGGACTGAGATTGCTGTTTACCATTCTTACTTTTTGCCTACCGAGAGGTGTTGCAAGCTTCCACAGGTTTTTCCCCTTTTGAGCTCCTGTATGGTTGGGAGGCCCAGGAACCTTTGGACCTGTTATGCAAAACCTGAGATGCATCTGACTCAACATATTGAGAGAAAGGGGTGGTTCCGTTTGTGTTACAAATGAGAGATTGGCTGTAGCAAACAGCTGGAAAGAATCTGCAAGAGGCCCAAGCAAGGCAATACCATGTCAACCTTCTGAAGGAATGGAAGGAGCATAGAAGACCAACTGCTGAGGTCAAGACATCAAGTTTTCCATGAAGTGCCCTCACCCCAGGCCAGACTAATCTTATCAAACATGTGATCCGCTTGAAAAACAATGGGCATATTTGGCAACTGCCTTATCATGTTCCACAGCAGTTGATGAAACAGCTACGAAGAGAGGTGGAGAAAATGCTGGCAATGAGTGTTTTTGAGCCATCAACCTCAGAATGGTGTAGTCCGGTTGTTGCCAAAAAAGATGGGTCTTTACGGATCTGTATTGATTTCTGAAAGCTCAATTCCATTTCTGAGTTTGATGCCTATCCTATGCCCCGAATCGATGACCTGCTGGAGAAGATTGGATCTGCAGTGTACATCACGGTTCTTGACTTGTGTAAGGGATACTGGCAGTTGCCCCTGGAACATGCAAGTTGACTCTACACTGCTTTCCGCACACCTGCAGGATTGTTCCAGTTCACTGTGATGCCATTTGGTTTGCATGAGGCACCCGCAACCTTCCAAAAGCTCATGGACAAGGTCCTACGGGGGTTGTGATGATTTCAGTGCTGTCTACCTTGATGATGTGGTCATCTTCAATCATATGTGGGAGGAGCATTTCCAGCACCTAAAGGAAGTCCTAGGGAAAATCCGGGGTGCTGGGTTAACCCTTAACCCTGCTAAATGTCAATGGGCTTGACAAAAGGCATGATACCTTGATTACCAGCTGGGAGAAGGAGAGGTGCGACTGCAGATGGATAAGGTGGAAGCAATCCAGAGCTGTCCTCATCCTCGTACCAAGGAGGCTGTGCAACCCTTTTTGGGGTGAGCAGGGTGGTACTGCAGATTTGTGCCTCAGTTTGCAACGATTGCAGCTCCACTAACTGCATTAACTGCCAATAACCAAAAGAACTTGGTAATGTGGAATGAGGAATGTGAAACTGCCTTTCATACCTTGAAAGCTTGTCTGTGCTTGTCACCAGTGCTTCGGAGCCCTGACTTCAGCAAGCGGTTCTTGGTACAAGTGGATGCATCTGCAGT